GAAAGAAAGAAAGAAAGAAAGAAAGAAAGAAAGAAAGAAAGAAAGAAAGAAAGAAAGAAAGAAAGAAAGAAAGCCTCAAAAAAAAAATGTGATGTCGATGTAGCACTTCATAACCAAAAAAAAAAAAGAACTGTTGATGCAGGCAACTTGGATCACTCTTCAGGGAATTATGTTAAATGGATTAAAGTACATTTCAAAAAGTTACACCCTGTAAGATTCCATTTATGCAAAATTTGTGAAAAGACAAAATGTTATAAATGGAAAAGTGGAGATATGGAAAGTGGTTCATCCAGGAGTTATTAACTAAAAACATACATCAGGTCACTGTCCCTTAGAACAGATTCAGTATCTTGACTGCAGTGGAGGCTACATGAACCTATACAAATAACAAAATTTGTGTAGAGAATTTAACACAAGGACATGTATGCACAAGTATGCATACACACCGACATACACCAAGTACAAGTAAAAACTAAAGAAATTGGTTAAGTTTTTTGTACTGAACCAAAGCTGATATTTGGGCCTATTAAGCTAGTTTTACAAATGTCACCATTGGGAGACACAACCATTGGATGAGTGTACAAAAGATCCCTCTGTGTTATCTTTTTTTTTTTTCTTAAGATTTATGTATGCATACAGAACTGGGGTATAGGCCAGGTGCAGGGGCAGTGAGAGGATTCACCAGAGACAGAATGGGAAGCGTCCCAGACAGAAGTCTGCTGTGCCATGTGGGCCACCTCCCTGGCTGGGGACTGAACTCATGCTGCAGTGGCTGTGGTTAGCTTCGTAGTGCTGTGCTTTAAGCCACTGCAACCAACAGGGAGAGCTCCCCTCTGCATTATTTTTTAAAACTGCATATGATATTGCCTGAATACAGATTTCAATTTTAAGAAGTCTGCATACAGTAGTGGGTGTGGTGAGAAATGTACAGTGCTGAAAACTAGCTACCCCAAAAGAAAAAAAAAGGACTGCACAAGCATCACTATTGATATGAAGGCAACAATCAACACTGTCCTCTGTTCTAATTTTGACACTTTGTACTCTTTGGAGCGACAGAATACTATTTTTCCTTTTTCTAGTGCTTTACAACCTTGGATGCCCTGTTTTTGGGTCACACTGGAAACAAGTGTTCCATCAGCAGTTGGATTCTTCTCAACATACTATCACTATTTCATCTCATCTTTACTGATTTTAAAGTTTCTTGTAAGGTTTCATGATACTAACATTCCAAGGAGATCTATTGTAGAGACACAGGACAAAAGGACTAGCATGCCTTCAATATCTGAAAGCATGGGAAAGGCACCAGAAATGATACTATTGACTCAATGGCCAATGGTTACAATATCTATCACACTGTACACTGAGGGTAAGTCTGTGATCAAAAGCTTTTAAAGAGCTTTATCAAGGGTTGATAGGTTTGTCTACTTGGTTTTGTTTGTTGAGGGTGTAAGAGGAAAATTATAGTATGATACACATAAAACTGGCCATTTAAACCGTTTTTCTCAACTATGGGGAAAAAAAACAACAAAATTTACTACCTTAACCATTTTTAGTTAAGGATATTCACATTGTTATGTAACATCTCCAAACTTTTTCATCTCACAAAACTGAGACTATCAATTAAACAACTCCCAAATTACTAGCCTACCACCTTTCCTAACCCTGGGGAACGATCATTCTATCCTCTACCATTGTACTTTCTGTTTCTAATGAGTATGATAACACATAAGTGGAATCAGAGTATTTTTGGTGCATTTTAGCCATTTTTAAGTGTATCATTTAAAGTGTGGCATTAAATATTTATCATCATGCAACCCTCACCATTCTCTATTCCACAATTCACTGTCCTATACTGTAGGTACTCTAGACATATCTGACTACAAGCACTTTAAATGCCTGTTTCTTTTTTTTTTTTTTTTAAAGATTTATTTATTTGTGCATACAGAACTAGGATATAGGCCAGAGACTCAGGGGTGGCGAAAGACTTCACCAGAGACAGAGTGGGGAGCAGAACAGGCAGATCGATGAAGTACAGTGCTGAGGGGAGCAGCGGGCAGGTCAGGAGAGGTCTGCCACGCCATGTGGTCACCTCCAGGGCAGGCGGGAATCGAACTCATGCGGAAGTGGTTTCAGCTTCTTAGTGCAGTGCTTTAACCCGCTGCGCCACCAGGGAGGGCCGCCTGTTTCTTTTTTTAAAGATTTATTTTTATTTACTTATGCATACAAGAACTGGGGTGTAGGCCAGAGGGCGGAGGTTGGGTGAGAGTATCCACCAGAGACAGAGTGGGGAGCAGAAAAGATATACCTACTGAAATGTACTGCTGAGGGCAGCAGTTGTCAAGACAGCAGAGGTCTGCTGTGCCATGTCAGTCAGCTCCCTGGGCAGGAACTGAACTCATGGCGCAGTGGCCAACAATAGCTTGACTGCACTGAGACTTTAACACGTGTGCGACCAGGATACCCAAATGCATCTAAATTTAAATCAGTTAAAACAGGACCCTCCCTGGTCAGGCAAGGATATGTTAAATAAAGCACAGCACTATGAAGATATTCACAGCCACAGCAGCACCAGTTCCATCCCCAGTGAGGGAGATGACACACATGGCATGGCTGACATCTCCTATCCTGCCCACTGATCCCCTCAGCAGTTATTTCAGTAAATCTGTCTGTTTTGTTCTCCCCTGTCTAGGGTAAATCCTCTCTTCCCCCACACCTCTGGCCTACACCCCAGTTCCTATGTGCACTGATAAATCTTTAAAAATAAATAAATCAGGTAACGTGTATGAGAGAAAGAGAATATAAAAAAATCTTCAATAAACCCTTCTTTTAAAAATTTAATCTCAATTACATAATAAAATATTTTGGATATGAGTTAAAATACTATTAAATTCTTTTAGTATTTTTAATAGGACTACTAAAAAATTATGTGGCTCACATATCTTTTTTGACAGCAGTGGTTTAAGAAAACAGTACACTTCTAAATCTACACACAGAAAATTAAGACATGCAATGTGTTGGAGCTGTACTAGGGATTTTATACATACATACTAATTTTCTAGCTTACACTGTCCAAATATGAAAACATTTTGGTATCAAAACATGAAAGTTTCAGAAATTAAAGTGAAAAATTACTTAGCAGAGCACTGTGTGCAGGGCATTCAACCCATAAAGTAACTTGCTCTGCCACACGTCAACAGCAGAAGGGTCACACAGTCTATATATAGCTGACCAGCACGGAGCACCCGGCACCAGGCTAAGAGCTTTACTCAGACACCACTACCCTATGTGGCTGGTACTATGAACACTGAAGACAAAGCTGTAGCAGAGAGGGTAAGTGACTCGCCAAAGTACCACAACTAGTACACTGCTGAACCAGGAGTCCAACCCAGCAGGCTTGATTTTTGACCTCGATACAACGCCCAACCAAAGGAACTGACCATGCCAGTATCTTACAGGACTGCGTTTTCACTGTGGGTGTGTACTCATTACAAAAAGACTGCGATAGACTGGAGTTATTAGCACTTTATTTCCTACTCTCCACCCCCTCTATTTCCCTCAAAGGTAGGTTAAAGTTAACCACAAGAATAAATCCTGGATTATTACTACAGGTTCCTTCTAAGGTTCCTTCTCCACAAAGGCACCATCCCACTTTGCTCTAATTCCTAGCTGTCACTTAGGCTTCATTTTAGACTCCACCTCCATGCAAGCCTACTATAACTTTTCATTACTAGGGCTAGTAACGCCTCCTCCCTATGCGTCCCCCTATGGTGGCACTTTCTATACTCTTTAAGGCGACTGTCCTCACTAGATTTCTCTTCAAGGGCCTCTGGTACGTTCACCCGTTATTCCCAGTGCCTAAAACTGTGCCTCACTTTCAGGTGCTCTGTAAATATTTGCTTAACTATCTAATCACTTCATCTACCCAGCTACACTAAAAGTGGAATACTAAAAGTAAAATTAATGGTAGGAAGTGTTAAGCCACAGGCAGAGAAAAAGCTCTAGGTTTCATTAAAGTTATCAGGTGAAGAGAAACCTATGACATTCGAGAAAATTATTACAGTAACAATGTAGTAATTATTAGAGTAACTCCATTTTTGGAGTTACTCTAATAATTACATTGTTACTGTAATAATTAATTAATGTCCATGCCACCAAAATCTCTCATCAAAAGGGACTTTCTGAGAGCCTTCCTCACCGATTAAAAAAGGTCAACCTAAAGGGCTTACCTCCTACGCTATTCAGAAAACACGAGGCGAAGGTGCATTAGAAATCCCGGGGCTACCGTGACCGGCCAAATACTTTCCGGTAAATTCTAGCATAAAGTAAAACAAAGGACCACTTCCCAGTCTCTAGGATTTGCGGGCAGAGGCTGATTATCTCCCGTAGATTACAGCTTCTGTTGCTGTCTTGCAAAAGCTCGGAGGGAAGCACGCCTGCGTCCCAGCCCCAAAGAGCGCCTCCGATTGTTTGACACATCAAGGCATTAGTCAACGCGGGGCAACTCACTTTGCCCCTCTCATCTGCCGTAATGATTCCTCACCCGAACCCTCACGTTTACGCTAACTTATGACCATATGTGACCTCCTCTTTGCTAGGAAGTATAAATTCGGGCCTTTAGCGAATGTCTACTATTGCCTCCCTCCCAAACACTAAAACCAACCCCTTAGAAAGACCATACATCTAGTGTCGCCACACAAACATGGGAAAAAGCCAGTGTAGTCCCTTACAAAAAAGGATTCTGGAACGTTGTTAAGCTGCACCTTTTCTAACAGCAGGCACAGAGCAGAGTGGGAGCCGCGGAAGCGAAAGGCCGGATGGAAAGCAAGGGAAGACCCCGCCCCAGTCAGCCCGACGCTGATTCAAACAGTAACCTGGGTCTGTCGCTGGGAAGGGGAATTACAGAAACAAAGGCGTAGATTACGGAAAGCAAGATGTCTGGAGTACAAGAAACGGTCTGCGGCTGCAGGGATCACACTCCATCCTCCCACCAGCCTTACCTATGGTGGAAATAAAGGTGGTATTGAAGGCATCATCCGAAAAACGAAAAAGGACGCAGGTCTTCCCCACTCCCGAGTCCCCGATCAGGAGCAGCTTGAAAAGCAGGTCGTACGTCTTCTTCGCCATTGGGAGGAGCGGCTCGGGCTCTCGCCGCCGGCGGTCCCAAGGGATCGGCCCCTCTCACTACGGCCAACTCCTCACCCGGGCGTTCTCAGGCCGAGGACCGGGAAGCGTGGGAAAGATGAGGGCTCGAGAGGGCGCGGGCGACCTACGAACGGCCTCGTCGAGGAAGCCCCGACGGTGGCGGCGGCCGTGCCTCTCCGAGGGTGACGACCGCAGCCTCTCCCAGCCGCTCCGCCCGGTTCCGGGGAGTCGGTCGGGACAAAATGGCCTCCCCTCCCCCTTCAGGGCTGCTCGGCCGGGACGCTCCCACGGGCGAGCGAGGCAGCTCTGCCGTCGAGGGAGCGCGGCGGGCTGAGGACAGTCTCTTTCCCGAGCAGAAACTCCGCGCGAGGACGCGGCGAAGGGAGCGAAAGAGAACCCCGAGCCGACGAGCTCAGCTACATATCCACAGGAAGTCGAGACGCCCCGGCCAGAGCCACCTTTTCCCCGTGCCCTCTCACGCCGGCGTGCGCGCTCGCTGCCTGAGACGCACGCAAGGACGTACGCCCGCCCTTCCCTCTCGCCCTCGCCCTGCGGTCCGCCTCTGCGCACGCGCGCTAGTGGGAGTGGGGCCGGCGGAGACCCGGAGCCGAGTTTTGGGTCTCCAAGCCTCTCTCTGAGGCCAGCGGAGACGGGAGAGGGGTGGGGCGAGAGAGGGCGAGGCCGCGGGCGCGCTCCCTGTGGCCGCCCGATAGGGTGCGCGGCGTTACGCGCCCGCCCCGCGGGGAGGCGCTGCTTGGTGACTGCGCAGGCGCGGCACGCTGGAGTAGCCCCTGGGCGCCCGCCCCGCTCTCTTACCTCCCCGGGTTTCCCCTGTGGGCTGCGCCGGAGGTGCTGCGAACTGTGATGGTTGTGGGGGTCTTGGCGCACAGGCGGACTTGGGTGGCAGCCTGTTTGTGTAACTGAAGGCGCGTGAGCAGGAGAAAGGCTAGCGCCCTGAGTCATGTAACAGCCTCTTCGCTAAAATGAGGCGCGTTTGGGGTGTCCTCCTCGTGGCTAGCCGTGACAGGGGAAGCATTAGAGCTCCATTCCGGTTCATTTAAGGAGCAAGATTGGCTTTGGAGAGAGCAGAGATTTGTCATGGAAAAACTGGCTGCGCCGCTCAGATTGGGATGATGTAACCTGCCTTCCAGGAAGAGGGGAGAAAGGTTGAGCATCACCTGGACGCTGGGAGAACCTCCCCGCGAAAAGGGAGTCTCATTGCAGAGCTCGGGGCGGGGGACGTGCTCCAGGCCTTTGCTGCTCTGGAGTTCCGCCGGGCGCTAGAGCCTGAGGAGGCAGCCCCTCCCTGCCACCAAAATCGAACCACCCGTGTCAAAACGTGAAGATAGCGAAGCCAACCCATCCGCTGCTGCCTCTTCCTTGCACTTTACTGCCATATGCCATTCACCCTTCCTGCATCTTCACCAGTTTTATTTATAACCCCCTTTCTCTCTCTTTTGATTCTGTAGTTTATTCATTCTCCTCCCCTGCCACTCCCAAGGTGTTTCATGGCTCCAAAGCACACCTAGCAAGATGATGCAGAGTAGTTGAACCTGGTAAGCTGGTTGAGTATGATGACATGCCCTGGGACAGGTGGAAAAAAAGGAGTGATTGAGAAAAAAAGTGAAAACTACATTTTTACACCTCACGTTTGTATATAATAACTTAGGGCAATCATATTTCAGTCTCCAATTCTTTAAAAAGTTGTCTTATATTCACTTCCCAACCACCTGTAACGCTTCATTAGCCGATTCCTCTTTAATACTTCTCTTTAGTTTGTTTCCCTTAGTCACTTAAACTTTATCATCAGTTGTTACCTGTTGTGGTTGCAGTCTCCCTCAGCCAATAAAAGGCTATAGTTTGAGGAGAAGGAAAGTGGTTTAATTTGTCAACAAACTGAGGAGGGCAGCAGACTGAAAGACCACCATCCTGCCCTTTGGCAGAGGACAGGAGTATTTATACAAAGGAGTAAAACAAAGGCATAGGGAGATTTCAGGTAGGCACCACAAGCCTGCTTTGTTAACACCTGATAGTTAGCATCTCTAGATGTTAACTTCCTTTTTATTCTCTTAGGGATGCCCTTCCTTTTCCTTAGAATGTAAGAAGACAAACTTTTTAAATGCAACAGATAGGAATGATTATTTGATGAGGCAGGAGGATAGGCCTGTCCTGTTTCACTGCATCACTATAGCATTATTTCTCCAGTTGAGAATGTCTTGTTAGAAACACCAACATTCTAATAGGCCAGTTACTCAAATCACAAAATGAGCTGCTAAATTGTTCCCAAGTTTGGCATTAATTAGAAGTCCTAATGCGGAGCACCTCAATAAAATCTTGAGTGTTAACTTGATTCTTCCTTTTAAAACAAGTTTAATTAATTCAATTCCTGACACTATAAAGCATTTTAGAAATGTTATGATTTCTAAATACAGATTTCTCCCTATGCCTTTTGTTTTACTCCTTTGTATAAATACTCCTGTCCTGTATAAATATTTAGAAATATAGAGGGAGTAATTCTACATGAATGTGGAGGGTAGTGGACTGCTAAAATTGAAACTTTAAAAAAAAAAAAAAACTGCATTCTGGGCCTCAGCACTATCATGCTATCCAGACACTGCTGCATGAGTTAGATCCTTCGAGTCTGATCCTCCGCCAGGGAGCTGACCCACACAGAGCAACAGAGCTCTCCTGTGTCCCCCACTGTTTCCCTCAGCAGTATATCTCAGTAGACCCACCTGTTCTGCTATCCATTGGTGAATTCTCACACCTTCATCCCACTGCTGGCCTACACCCCAATTCTTGTAAGTATAGATAAAAATAAATCTTAAAAAAAAAACTGCATCCTTTATCCCAGCTGTTCCCAATAGTTTTATCAATGAGAACCTTTCTCCATGGATTCTTAGGAATTAATTATACATGTTGTTAAATTTTGATTGGTCAGGATGACAGAATTTTAAAACTGCTATATTTTTTAAATCCTAATTTAACTCATGCACATAATTTACAGATGAGGCCCAGAGATGTTAGAGACTTGACAGAGGATACACTGTTAGTGGCAGAATAAGCACTGAATGAGTGAGGAGGGAGAAAACCTCGGCAGAGGCAATCTTGCAAAGAGGTGAGAAATGGGAAGCTCAGTCAGTACTTAATGTGTGGCTAAATACTACATATTAAAGTTAAAAGTTTTTCTGAAATGAAACCGAGGCATCAATCCCCATCATTGAAGGTAGCTGGCATGATGAAGGAATGGAAAATCTTCAAGAAAAAAAAGACTAACATGGGTATCTATGTAGACTAAAGGGTGAACCCAAGGTTGGAAAGTGATAAAAATTGGAATTCAGAAAAATAAAATGCCAACTTCCTAATAACTTAAGGTTTTCAACTATTTTGTAATTTCGCTATAAAGAATCTAGTCCAAATATTTGCAAAACCAAGAAAAAATATAGGCATATGTGTATGCGTTTATACTAATACCTTAGGTAGCATTTGTTTATTTTTCTAACAAAACAAAACAGTTGACCAGCTTATGGCTCCAGTCTTCAGGTTCAGCTTTCAGTACAGCTTATAGAAAGACCTTCCTCAGAAGAGCTGGCCTGGAAATTATCTTTACCCATGCAAATGTTTCAGTCTTTGCTCCTGATTTCTTTTCTTTCACCCTTTTGCCCCTTGCTCTTGCCTGTTTTTTATAAGAGTCCTCCCTCTGTGGGCCACTTCAACACCTTGCTGTAAAACCTACCCCTGCAGCCTCAGGGACTTAGCCTATTTCATGTACCCACACTCCCAGGGCTTCTTTGAGGCAGGCCTTTGTTAGATCTTCCACACTGACGGACAGCCCAGAGGCTATGTTTCCTATATCACCTTAGCCTACCAAATTCTGCCCTGTCTGCATATCCTGATTTAGCTCTCCCTTCTCTTAAAAACCTGCTGCCCCATGAGACTTCTTTAGTCCTTGGATGTTCCAGTTGAATACTACCTTGGTTGAATAGACTCTCTTTTAGGACTGTGATTATTGTGTCATCACTCAGAGCACCTTGATGAAGCACGAAATCAAAACACATTATTAAAGGAAAAAGTAAATGAAAAGAAAGAGATTCACATTTCCCCCCCTGAAAACAATACCAATTTTAAACAAAAATTTTAAAAGAAGTGACTATAAAGTTAGTAGACCAAATATCCTTAGAACAATATTTGATTCACTTTAGAAAATAAATGAATCCATTGTAGAATTTGTTTTTGTGAACAAGAAATATTGTTAAGGCTAGTAGAACAACTTTTATATAGACAGTGAAATGTGCACTAAATTCAGAGTCAGATAATATAGGCTGCTGTCTGTGACTGACTAGCTCTGTGCCAATGGATGACTCACTTAACCTCACTAAGCCTATTTTCTCATATATCAAGAGGTTATAATACTTTATGAGGTTGCATAATCATGAGATAATGCAAGAAAATGTTCTTTATATATCATCTAAGCACTTTGCAAACTTATTACTGTGTTTTCATAAGATAAGAACAATGAACTCCACTCTAAGGAAAGAGAAAGCAGAAGAGTTTACATGATCAAAGCAACAAGCCATCCCGTAAGAAATGGTACCAAAGGAAGTTGCACTAGAATAGGAATAGATCAGAAGAAAAAATGAAAAAGCAAGAATCAGAACTGATCTGCGTTACAGAGATTTAATGGTCTATCAAAAGGAATAGTGAAACCAAAAGAAAGAAATGTAATGGCTGAAGGCAGCAGAGTACTCCACCATATAAAAAACTTCACACTACCAACTCCACAGATGAATTCCAAACATCTATCATGGACCTTGAGTCTGCTGCACCTAAATGTGACAGCCTGGGATCTTTGTGGAGTTTCTGGCCCCTTGTGAAAGAATTTAACAGGGAGGCAGGGCAGATTGCATTAAGACAAGGCTTTATGAGGCTCATGTTCTAGCACAAGGGAGGCTGGCTGCCCAAGGGGAGCAGGAAAAGGTTTTAAAGGGCTAGTTCACTAGGGCATTGTACAGGGCAGCTGTGTCCTCGTGTGTTTGGGGCCAGACTGCACTGGGACATGCTTCATATGTCACCTGTCTCAGCATCCTATATCTTCTAGGGGAATGCATGTTAGCATGCTAATGAGACTCTACTGTAGGGTCTTTAGCTATCACAAATATGGGCACGTGGCCATCCTCCTCATCAGGAAATTATGCTGCTCTTAGTTGGTAAAGCCAGTTATTTCTCAAGATACAGAACCTTTTGTCAGAATATGGCACTTGTCTTCATTCAATTTCTTCTTTCTTTTTTTTTTCACTCATCAATCTGTCATATGCTTGTTTGATTACTTGCCATCCTAGAAAAATCTAAGTGGTTACAAGATGATTTCCTGTACTACTCATGTATTCACGATCTCACAAGTATTCTTTGAGGTAAGAACTACTGTAATCCCATATTCAAACAAGAAGACTAGAGTTAAAAGAAGTTAAGAGGGATGCATTGAAATGATGCCTTGGATTTCCTGCAAAAGGACTGGAGGGTGGAGAGGTGAGTGGTAGGTAGATGAAACAAGACGGACCACCAGTGGTTATTGTTCCAGCTGGATAAGAGAACTGGAAATTCATTACACCACTATGTTTCATTTGTATATACTTGAGATTTTCCATAATTAAAAATGTTTTGTTTCCTTTTAAGAAACTTGGCTAAAGTCAGATAAATGATACTCAGGTTTTGTTTCCAGGGCCCTCCC